CAGCAGCAGAATGCATATTCTCCTCCAGTGCACAGAGGACATACTCCAGGATAGATCATGTTAGACCACAAAACAAGTCTAAACAAACTTAAGATTGCAATTATATCAAATATCTTTTCTGATCACAGTGATAATGAAACTAGAAATTAATTACCGGTAGGAATTCTGGAAAATTCTCCTGTGAAAATTAAACAACACACTCCTAAACAACCAATGTGCCAAAGAAGAAATTAAAAAGGAAATTAAAAAATACTTGAGGCTGGGTGCAGTAGCTCATGCCTGTAATCCCAGCGCTTTGGGTGGCTGAGGCAAGAGGATCACCTGAGGGCAGAAGTTGAAGACCAGCCTGGACAACATAGTGAGACCTCCTATCTCTACAAAAAATAAAAGCCAGGCGTTGTGATGCCCACCTGTAGCCCCAGTTATTCAGGAGGCAAAGGTGGGAGGAACACTTGAGCCCAGGAGTTGGAGGCTGCAGTAAGCTATGATTGTGCCACTGCATTCAGCCTGGGTGATAGAGGGAGACCTATCTCTAAAAAACACAAAACAAAAAACATTTGAGACAAACTGAAATGGACATACAACATACTTAAACCAATGAATGCAGCAAAAGTGGTTCTGAGAGGGAAGTTTATAGCGATAAATAAATGCCTACATAAAAAAGAAAGATCTTCCTTCCTTCCTTCTTTCTTTCTTTCTTTCTTTTTTGAGACAGAGTTTTGCTCTTGTTGTGTCTGGCCAAAAAAAGATCTTTCAAATAACCAAATTATCTTAAAAAAGAGGTAACTGGAGGCTGGGCAAGGTGGCTCAAGCCTGTAATCCTAGCACTTTGGGAGGCCAAGGTGGGCAGATCACTTGAGGTCAGGAGTTCATGACAAACCAGCCTGGGCAACATAGCGAAACACAGTCTCTACTAAAAACACGAAAATTAGCTGGGTGTGATGGTGGGCGCCTGTAGTCCCAGCTCCTCGGGAGACTGAGGCAGGAGACTTGTTTAAACCTGGGAGGTGGAGGTTGACATAAGCCAAGATCATGCCACTGCACTCCAGCCTGGGCAGTAGAGAGAGACTCTGTGTCAAAAAAGAAAAAAAAAAAGCAAAGAAGAAGAAGGCAGCTGGGCACAACAGGAGTCCAGGCCAGGCAGACGGGGCATCTGGGGTGTGGACTGCTCCCTACGTGACTAGGGATCATGCAGGGCAGTGGGGGCTCATCAGAAGCCAAGAGTCTCATCAGGGACCTGGAAGCACCAGAGTTCAGGAGAGCTGCAGGCAGCCGGGGTCTGATACACAAAATTGACTGCAGGAGGACCCCCACTTCTGCCCATAATGTTCCCCCAGTGCCCTTGTGCCTTTGCTGATGACCTCCATCTATGAGGCACAGTGCCCTTGTGCCTTTGCTGATGATCTGCTCTGTGGCCCTTCCCCATTGGAGGACTGTCCTTTTCTTCACAGTATTTAAGAAATAAAAATTAGATTTTCCTCACCAACAAGAAAAGTAAATAGCTTGGCTTCTCTGACCCTCAGTCAGATGAACACCCGGGAACATCCTTCATCCCACTAGAGGTGCCTGCCACTGAGTGGGGCAGAGGTGGTGGTAGATGGTGCAGGCTTCCCAGAACATCTCCATGCTCCTGCCCACCACCCGGCCACTGCAACTGACTGGGCTTGTCTAAGGAAGACACCTGCCTGCCCTCCCAACCCTGCAGACTGTGAGGTATTAGTCTCTTAATTTAACTGAGCTACAGGATGGACACCACCCTCAACTGCTCCCATCATCAGAGATGGGGACCAGAAGTCGGGGGGTAGGGGGCACTTGTTTCCCCCAGCTGTGCTGATTTCACACTGGCGGACAAGAGGTCTTCTGCTAATAGCAGATTGATTACTCTTTAATTTTTTTTTTTTTATGAGATGGAGTTTTGTTCTTGTCACCCAGGCTGGAGTGTAATGGCAAGATCTCGGCTTACTGCAACTTCCACCTCCCGGGTCCAGATTCAGGCAATTCTCCTACCTCAGCCTCCTGAATAGCTGGGATTACATGCACATGCCACCACGCCCGCCTAATTTTTTTGGTATTTTTAGTAGAGACGGGGTTTCACCATGATGGCCAGGCTTGTGTTGAACTCCAGACCTCAGGTGATCCACCCAAGTCAGCCTCCCAAAGTGCTGGGATTGCAGGCTTGAGCCACCGTGCCTGGCCCACAGCTGACTACTCTTAATGCCCCCAGCAGCTGCAGGAATGGAAGAGGCCAGTTCAGCCCCGACCGTGAAGATCTGGCCTTCACTCACAGCAACTGTAGTCCTCAGAACTCTGGGTTTTAACTTGGGGCCCTAACTCCCGGATCATCCCATCCCTTGCTCCAATCCCCAGGTGTCCCGAGCGCGCCCACCCCAGTGCACCTTACATGCTGGTTCCTTGAGTGCCCCCTGGCTGGGAACCCCTCCTCCCCGTGAAGCCTGCCGGTGAAACAAACGGTGAGGGACTGAGGCCGGGAGGGAAACTCACAAGTTGGGGGCATCCCCCAAGTCAGGATAACACCGTCTGGGCCGCAGCCCGCGCAGTCTGGGCAGGTAGGGGTCAGTGGGCCGTAGCGGAGAGGCTGACCCCGTCCTGCCACGCCGCTTACCCACGCCCGCAGCCACGCGGAGCCGCGTCCTGGCGCAGCCTCACCCACCCGGAGAAAGAGGCGGAGGAATTGGAGCAGCGCCCGGGCCGCCGGCGCACCCCCAGGATCGTCTTAGCTGCTCTGGTGGGGCGCGGCTGACCGTGCAAGCCCCACCCAACACTAAGCCCCTCCCACAAAGCCCTGCCTCTCGCCCTAAGCGCCACATGTCAGGCTCCGCCCACTGCTTTAAATCCCACTCACTCTTCCCTGCCCCCCCGACTCAGAGCTATGTATCAAGCCCCGCCCATAGCCACAAACCACGCCCACTCAGCCCTGCCCCTCGGCTCCCAGTGTCATTTATCTAGTCTGTGCCCCGCTAGAAGCCACACCCACCTGGCCCCGCCCTAGCTCTAAGCCCCACACACCTGGCCCTGTGATTTGGGACAGGGAATTAGGCTAGGGGACCGCCATCCCTGGGCTCCCAGTGGAAGAGGTGAAGTGAGAAAGGAGTTCAGGGTGTAATAAATAGCCAAAAGGTCAGATGTAGCTATGGATACCGGCGATAAAAAGTTTAAAACAATCAGCTGTGTGGCCTCTGCAGCGCTGCTTTCACCCTCCCTAATCTCCACCTCCTGTCTCCCCTAGTACCTGTGTCCTGGGTGGTTCCCACTCGCCCAGGGAAAGAAGACATGCCTTCTCCGAGAATGTTGCTTTGCTTCCTGAGGGCATGGCTACCAGGGGCTCCTGGCTTTTCTTCGAAAAACCAAACAATTCTTCCATTTTCTTTCTTTCTTTCTTTCTTTCTTTCTTTCTTTCTTTCTTTCTTTCTTTCTTTCTTTCTTTCTTTCTTTCTTTCTTTCTTTCTTTCTTTCTTTCTTTCTTTCTTTCTTTCTTTCTTTCTTTCTTCTTTCTTTCTTTTCTTTCTTTCTTTCCTTTTCTCTTTTTTTCTTTCTTTCTTTTCTTTCTTTCTCTTTCTTTCTTTCTCTCTCTTTCTTTTCTTTCTTTCTTCTTTCTTTCTTTCTCTCTTTCTCCTTCCTTCCTCCCTCCCTCCCTTCCTCCCTCCCTCCCTCCCTCGTCCCTTCTTTCTCTCTCTCTCTCTTTCTTTCTTTCTTCCTCTCTCTTTCTCTCTTTCTTTTTGAGACAGAGTTTCACTCTTGTCCCCCAGGCTGGAATGTAGTGATGCAATCTCAGCTCACTGCAACCTCTGCCTCCTGGGTTCAAATGATTCTCCTGCTTCAGCTTCCTGAGTAGCTGTAATTACAGGCACCCATCACACTTGCTAATTTTTGTATTTTTATAGAGATGGTATTTTGCCATGTTGGCCATGCTGGTCTCAAATTCCTGACCTTAGGTGATCTGCCCGCCTTGGCCTCCCAAGGTGCTGGGATTACAGGGGTGAGCAACTGTGGCTGGCCGCCTTTTTTTTCATTTTTTTGAGACAGGGTCTTGCTCTGTTGTCCAGGATGGAGTGCACTGGCATGATCACCGCTCACTGCAGCCTCAGCCTCCCGGGCTTAAGCAATCCTCCCACCTCAGCCTCCCAAGTAGCTGGGACTACAGGTATGCATTACCACATTGGGTTAATTTAAAAAAAAAGTATTATAGAGACAGGGGTCTCTCTATGTTGCCTACGCTGGTCTTGAACCCTGGGCTCAAGTGACCCTCTGGCCTTGACCTCCCAAAGTGTTGGGATTACAGACATGAGCCACTGTGCCTGGCCTGGAGCATTCTTTCTTCTTGGGGTTGTTCACCGGTGGGAAGTGTACCATTCTGCCTTGCTAACTATATTCATAGAGTTATGTACCATCATTCTCATCTAATTTCAGAACAAAAGGAAATCCATACCCTCTCCCAGTCACTCCTTCATTCTCCCCTTCCCCTATCCTATGGCCACCACTAATTTACTTTCTCTTTCTATGGATTTGCCTGTTCTCACAACTACGGCATTTCTGTGGCATGCTAAGTTACCTAACCATGGTGTGGAAGGAGAGGGAAATGGAGTGAAGTTGGGGACCCACCAGGGAACATGTAGCTTGAGGCAGCCGGGAAAGGGCGGGGAGTGTGAAGGTAAGGGCTTGCTTTGGGGGCTGAAGGCAGCTTGAGCCTTGTTTGCAGGTAGCCAGTGTCCACCAGGTACATGCAAGTGAGGGAAACAGTGAAAAGGGCGCTTTTTGGAGAAAGCAGGTGAGCTGGCTGGGAGGCCTGGGATGGGGAGTGGGGAGGCATGAGGGCCAATGGGTCAAGGGCAGAGATTGCTGTAGAGGAGGGAGAATCCCAGAGGCTGAGAGTGCAGGTGGGGAGGAGGAGGAAGAGAGGAGGGCGGACAGGGGGGTGGCTGGGTGGGGCTCTGTCTATAAAGAGTGAAGCTCAGTGTGTTGGTCCTGTAGACAGGAGAGCTTGGCATACAGCCCGTTGGGGATCAGCTCCTTTGACCCAGTGAACATCGGTGAGTCCCTTGACCATGACTGAGACGAGCAGCTTGTGCCTCCAGCTGGACTTGTTCCCATTTTATGCGACCTCCTTCCTTTGCTGTATGCCTGGGGCTTAAGACAGGGGTGTTCCCAGTACCCACTCCCCTCCTTCTCCTCAGTCCTCACCGCTTCCCTCCAAGACCCCAGGTAGCCCCATTGTTCTTCCAGGTGCCCAAGGAGGAGAACCCGCCTGCAGCATGAACCTGTGGCTCCTGGCCTACCTGGTGGCTGGCTTCTTGGGAGCCTGGGCCCCAGCTGTCCGCGTCCAAGGTACCGTTTACGGCAATGCCTACTTCCAAGTCCCCCTCTTCCCGTGCCCCCACCACTCCATCTGTCTCTCATCTCTTCCAGAAGTCTCCTCAATCCCATCTCCACTGAATTCTCCTGCTCCTGACATGCGGGAACTCCTGGCATTTGGGTAGCTCCTGGGATGGGGTCGGGGAGATGGAGGGTCCCCAGTTCCTTCTTCCAGAGCTCCATGGAGTCCTTTGCAAGACTCCTACAGCCTAGAGACATGAGGAAGCAGAAGGTGGCTTCCAGTTGTGGGCACAGTCAGTTACTACCAGGGACATATTGCAGAGTCCTAATCCTGCTGAGACAGGGATGGGGTTGGAGATCAGGGCCCTGGAGACAGATGGGAGTGGATTCCCCATGCAGTCCAGCGGAGAGTTAGTGGCTCCTAAACCTTTTTTTTTTTTTTTTTTTTTTAAGATGGAGTCTCACTCTGTCATCCAGGCTGCAGTGCAGTGGCACGATCTCTGTTCACTGCAACCTCCACCTCCTGGGCGCAAACGATTCTTCTGCCTCAGCCTCCCGAGTAGCTGGGACTACAGGCATGTGCTACCACACCTCGTTAATTTTTGTATTTTTAGTACAGCTGGGGTTTCACCATGTTGGCCAGGCTGGTCTTGAACTCCTGATCTCAGGTGATCTGCACGCCTCAGCCTCCCAAAGTGCAGGATTACAGGCATGAGCCAGTGCGCCCTGCCTCCTAAACCTTTAGGAGCCTTCATTTTCTCAGCGGCAAAGTGGGAATCTAAAATTCCCACTGCATGGCTTTGACTTGAGGGTCCAATGAGCTCATGCTTGCAAAAGACTAGGCCTCAGATCTGGTAGCAGCAATAATAACCGTTTCTGTCATTAACAGGGAACTCTTTCATTCTTCCCCCACTCCCTACCTCAGAGTAGGCGCTTGAGAATTCCAGCCACCAAAGGACAGTTCCTGGGCCTGCAGTGTCCCCACGGGAGCCCTGACATTGGGTCCTACAGCCTCTTGAGTTTCGGCAGCTGGCCAAAGCAGGGTACCTGGCTGGGTGGCAGACCAGGTGGAGCAGGTGGGGGCAGACAGGGCCCCATCCTCCTGCCCTGTCTGCCCCCACCTGCCCCACCTGTTTCTCGCCTGGGTCTGATGGGTCCAAGTCCTTAGCCTTTGCCCGGGAGGGGGGCTGGGCTGTGATCTGATTGTTCTGCTATCAGAGCCAGGCCCAGCCCCGGCCCTTTGATACCTGGAGGTAAAGGTGGGCCCCAGCCTTGGAAACTACCTGCCTGGCATTGCAGCCTGAGGTTCCAACAGAATGCACTGCCCCTTGCCCTCAGAGGCCAAGGTTGGGAGACACATGGAGGGCTCGAGTCCTTCCTCTGCCTGCTCCCACTGGGCTGGGCTCTGCAGGAAACTCAGGCTTGGCCCCTGGAGGTTAGTTCTGGCAGAGGTGGGATTGCAGAGACCTTCAAAGGCCAGTTGGGCAGTGACTCGTGCCCCAGCTTCCACCACCGTCTCATCAGCTCCTCCTCGGCTCATTCATTCCACCTGCTCACCCTCCCAGAACTTTCTGGCAGCATCACCTCCTCCTATGGGCACCCCCAACAGTGGCTGGGCTTCCCCCTCTCTGCATAGATTGATTTCCCTGTCTCCCAACCAGGCCAGGAGCTCCCTGAAGAAAACACTAGGTCTAATTCATCTGTGTGTTTCATCTCTGTCTAGCCTTTTTTTTTTTTTTTTTGAGAGGGAATCTCACCCTGTTGCCCAGGCTGGAGTGCAATGGCACGATCTTGGCTCACTGCAACCGCTGCCTCCCAGGTTCAAGCAATTCTGCCTCAGCCTCCCAAGTAGCTGGGATTACAGGCATGTCCCACCACGCCTGGCTAATTTTTAATAGAGACAGGGTTTCGCCATGTTGGTCAGGCTGGTCTTGAACTCCTGATCTCATGATCCACCTGCCTCGGCCTCCCAAAGTGCTGAGATTACAGGCATGAGCCACCGCGCCCAGCCAATTTTTGTATCTTTAGTAGAGACGGGGTTTCACCGTGTATCCCAGGCTGGTCTCAAACTCCTGACCTCAAGCAATCTGCCCACCTCAACCTCCCAAAGTGCTGGGTTTACAGGTGTGAGCCACCGCTCCAGGCCTCGAATCAGCTCATTGTTAGGAGGTTAGAACTTGGCTGGGGAGGGGTCTTGTTGACCTCTCCTCAGGGTGCACCTGCGCTATGAGTCACCCTCTTCCCCAGAGCAGGAATGGAGGTGGCCTTGGTCGCCTGCTTATTTGCTGCTTCCACACCCTTCCCAGCCGGGACACAAGGTTCCTCTCCAACTTCTGGCTATCCCAATAACCAGAACTAAGGGGTGAGCCAGGAGGCTGTGTTTTCCTGAGGCTGTCCCTCAGTCTCTGCCGGGCCCGAAAGGGTTGTGGTAGGAGCGTATGTATGCAGACAGGTTCATGCCTGTGGCTGGCCCTGCCAAGTTCACGTGCAAGGATGCAAGTATCTGGGCGGCTGTGTGGCTGCAGGTATCTTTGAGGACTGCTGCCTGGCCCACCACTACCCCATTGGTTTGGCTGTGCTCCGGCGCGCCTGGGCATACCGGATCCAGGAGGTGAGCGGGAGCTGCAATCTGCCTGCTGTGATGTGAGTGAGGCCGTGGGGATGGGGGATGGGGTGCACACACAGCTTTGCTCCCAGCCTGTGCCCTAACCTGGGCACCCCCTCTGCTCACCACAGATTCTACCTCCCCAAGAGACACAGGAAGGTGTGTGGGAACCCAAAGAACAGGGAAGTGCAGAAAGCCATGAAGTTCCTGGATGCTCGCAATAAGTCTTTTGCAAAGCTCCTCAACAACATGAAGAACTTCCCAGGTGGGCAAGACCCCTGCTGAGCATCTAGGGGGCCCTCCTCTGTGACTGCAGGCCCATGTGTCCCTCAGACCCTGAGGGAGGGAATTGGAGACCAGAATACTGACAGCTGCCTGGACCCCAAAGAAAGTCAGTTGCTGGTCAGTGGGCACCAAGTGAAGGACCAACTAACTGCGTTGAGTCATTGTCCAGTTTGTTTTGTTTTTGAGATGGGGTCTTGCTCTGTTGCCCAGGCTGGAGTACAGTAGCATGATCATAGCTCACTGCAGCCTCAAATTCGTGGGCTCAAGTGATCTTCTCACTTCAACCTCCCAAGTAGCTGGGATTGCAGGTATATTCCACCAGTCCAGCTCTTTTAGTATTATTATTTTGAGACAGAGCCTTACTCTGTCACTCTGAGTGCAATGGCACCGTCACAGCTCACTGCAGCCTTGACCTCCCAGGCTCAAGCAATCCTCCTACTTCAGCCTCCTGAGTAGCTGGAATTACAGGCATGTGCTACGAATCCAGCTCACTATTATTATTATTATTATTTTGAAATGGAGTCTCACTCTGTCATCCAGGCTGGAGTGCAGTAGTGCAATCTCGGGTCACTGCAACCTCTGCCTCCTGAGTTCAAGAGATTCTCCTGCCTCAGCCTCCTGAATAGCTGGGATTATAGGCACCCACCACCATATCTGGCTAATTATTGTATTTTTAGGAGAGACAGGGTTTCACCATGTCGGCCAGGTGATCTGCCTGCCTCGGCCACCCAAAGTACTGGGATTACAGGCATGAACCACCATGCCCAGCCTCAGCTCATTATTATTATTATTTTGAGACAGAGTTTTACTGTCACCCAGGCTGGAGTACAGTGGCACAATCACAACTCACTGCAGCCTTGAGTTCCTGGGCTCAAGCAATCCACCTGCCTTGTCCTCCCAAGTGCTGGGACTGCAGGAATGAGCCACTGCACCCAGCCAGTCCACCTGTTTTAATCAGGACGCTTTCCATTCGTGCAGATGGAAAGCTCAAGCACATGGGACGCTCATTGGCTTATATAACCAGCCAATAGCTTCAGGCTCAGCTAGATCCAGGAATTCAAACGGTGTTGGCAGAGCTCTTGCTTATTTCTCTCTCCATTTCTCCAACAGGCTCTCATGCTGTAAAGAAGTTTAGTTCTGGAAGCTCCAAGCTATCATCGTCCAAGTTTAGCAATCCCATCAGCAGCAGCAGGAGGAATGCCTCCCTCCTGATACCATCGAATTCGGGTAAGGACTCTTGGTCATGTGGCCATCTCCCATCCATCACCTTTGCTGAGGGTTGAGGGTTCATGATAGGCTCCCACTGGGACAGGGGATTCACCTCCAGGACCAAGGAGGGCTGTTTGTGTGGTCAGCGTTGCAGGTTCATAGGGCAGGGGCATCGGTGGCTGTCCACTGCCATGACCCAGCCCAAAGATGCTACATCAAGTGCTGAAGTGAAGCCCCAGGGGAGTGACCCTGGAGCTCCAGGGCCCTCTACATCCAACAATTCTCCAGCAGGCACCAGCTGGGTGTCTTGTAATTCTACTGAATTCTGACATTGTATATATATATTTTTTTCTCTTTCTTTCTTTTCTTCCTTCCTTCCTTCCTTCCTTCCTTCCTTCCTTCCTTCCTTCCTTCCTTCCTTTCTCTCTCTCTCTCTCTCTCTCTCTCTCTCTCTTTCTTTCTTTCTTTCTTTTGGAGATAGAGTCTTATTCTGTCACCAGGATGGAATGCAGTGGCACAATCACAGCTCACTGCAATCTCCACCTCCCGGGTTCAAGAGATTCTCCTGCCTCACCCTCTCAAGTAGCTGGGACTATAGGCGTGTACCACCACACTCAGCTAATTTTCGAATGTTTAGTAGAGATGAGGTTTCACCGTGTTGGCCAGGATGGTCTTGATCTCTTGACCTTGTGATCCACCTACCTCGGCCTCCAAAAGTGCTTGGATTATAGGCTTGAGCCACTGGCGCCTGGCCTGTGTGTGTGTGTGTGTATATATATATATATATATATATATATATATATATATATATATATTTGAGACAGGGTCTCACTCTGTTACCAAGGCTAGAGTTCAGTGGTGTGATCTCAGCTCACTGCAACCTCTGCCTCCAGGGTTCATGTGATTCTTGTGCCTCAGCCATCCAAGTAGCTGGGATTACAGGCATGCATCAACACGCCTGGATAATTTTCAAGTATTTAGTACAGATGGGGTTTTGTCACATTGGTCAGGCTGGTCTCGAACTCCTCAAGCAATTTTCCCACCTCAGCTTCCCAAAGTGCTTGGATCGCAGGCATGAGCCACCACATCCGGCTGACATTGTTTATCTGGAGGTAGTGACACAACTCACAGGTTAAGGACTCAGTCCCACAAGACTGTCCCCATTTCAGATGCTGGTGGCAAGTAGCAAGTTGTCACCTGTAGTTCTGACTGATTGGCTGTAAGTCAAGGCTTTCACCTCCCATCAGATCATTTGTTAGAGTCGCCCACAGGACTCAAGGAAATGCTTTACTTATGTTTACCATTTTATTGTAGAAGGTTACAAAGGGGCTGGGTGCAGTGGCTCATGCCTGTAATCCTGGCATTTTGAGAGGCTGAGGCAGAAGGATCAATTGAGCCTGGGAGTTTGAGACCAGCCTGGAAAACATAGTGGGACCCTCTCTCAAGAAAAAAAAATTTTTTTTAAATTAACTAGTTGTGGTGGCATGCACCTGTAGTTCCAGCTGCTTGGGAGGCTGAGGTGAGAGGATTATTTGCGCCCAGGAGGTAGAGGCTGCAGTGAGCTATGATCATTCCACTGCAACTTCAGCCTGAGAGACAAAATGAGACCCTGTCTTGGAAAAAAAATAAATAAGACATTACAAAGGATAAGGATGAATAAGCCAGATGGAAGAGGTGTTAGGGAGGCAGAGTCTGGAAAGGGCCCAAGGGCAGGAGTTTCTGCCCCCGTGGAGTTGGGGTACACCACCCCTCCCACACACGTGGATCACAAGCCCTGAAGCTCCCTGAACCCCATAGTTCAGGTTTTTTGTTTGTTTGTTTTTAAGAGATGAGGTCTCATTGTCTGCCATGAGTGCAGTGGTGTAATGATAGCTCACTGCCTCACTCAGTAGCTGGGACTATCTAACTCACTGCCTCAGCCTCCTGAGTAGCTGGGACTACAGGCCTGTGCCCTCAGCTCAGCAGGGATTTTTTTTTTTTTCTTTTTGAGATGAAGTCTCACTGTCCCCCAGGCTAGAGTGCAGTGGTGCGATCTAGGCTCACTGCAACCTGCACCTCCAGGTTCAAATGATTTACCTGCCTCAGCCTCCCGAGTAGCTGGGATTACAGGCACCTGCCACCATGCCCAGCTAATTTTTATATTTTTGGTAGAGATGGGGTTTCACCATGTTGGCATGCTGGTCTTGAACTCCTGACCTCAGGTGATACATCTGCCTCTGCCTCCCAAAGTGATGTAATTACAGGCATGAGCCACTGCACTCAGCCTTCACCAGGGATTTTTTTTTAGCAGCTTCATCACATACAAGTGAAGGATGATTCACTCCATTTCCAACCTTCTTCCCCTTCCTGGAGAATGGGAGATGGGACCGAAGGTTCCAAGTTTCTAATCACTGGCTTGGTCTTGCTGGTGACCAGCCCCCACCCAGAAGCCCACCAAGAGTTACCTCATTAGAATAAAATATGTTCCCATTACCCAAGAAACTCCAAGGGATCCAGAAACAGAGTTCAAAAACCAAATATTAGCCCAAAAGATTCTAGCACTCCTCTGACTCAGAAACTCACAAGGGTTTTAGGAGCTCTGTGCTAGGGACTGGAGTTAGAGACCGATGCATATAGTCACTATTATTTCACAGCCATCAATTTCACTTCGGCCTCTCTAATTGCTGCTGCAGGACTGTGAGCCGGGATCCATCGGCACAGGAGGGGCTGGATCTTTCTCCGCTGAAACCATCACCCTACAGATCCAGCTGTCCCCGAGCCTGTGCCTGAGTTGGTCCTCCTTCTCCACTCCCACCACCTCCTGCCCCTCTGGCAATTGAAAAGAGGGAGTTGGCCTGATTTTAAGCCTTTTGCCACTCCAGGGACCAGCGTCAACCCTGGGCAGGCAGTGGCTCTTGTAGAGAAGACTTTAGATACTTGTCTCACCTGCTGTTTCTTGCCGCCCACCAGGGCCATGCCAGTGTGTTCTTCTGGGTCCCAGTGAAGCTCTGGTCAGTTCAAGGATGCCCCTCCCAGGCTATGCTTTTCTATGACTTTTAAATAAACCTTGGAGGGTGATGGAGTCATTCCTGCCTGTTAGTTTCATGATGAGGTGCAAGTTGCTGCTGCCCTAGCCTGGGGTGAATCCCATGTGATCTCGGCCACCCCAAGCTCTCCTAACAGACGACCCTCTAGGGGCCAAGCATTAGCTGCTGGCTGCAAACTGCAGTTCCCAGCTGGTGGCCTTGAACCAATTGCTCACTCTCTGGGTACCTCTGAGCTTGTCCGTAGAGTAAGGGCCACTGTGCTTGCTCTGCTTAGATTCCAGGGCTGTGGTGAGTCCCGCTGATGGACACAGAAGCCCTCTGCAAGCTCTTATGGGCTGCCTGGAGGCCACTGGTAAGTCAGGCGGGCCAGGATAGAACCAAGGACAGAACTCTGGGGCCAGGCACTAGTGACATTTCTGCAGGTGGAGGCTTGAGTCACCACCGATTATGTTGTCCTTGGCAACCTCAGTTTCCATCACAACAGAAAATGATCTGGATGAAAACCAAGCAAATTGGTGGCTCACGTCTGTCATCCCAGCACTTTGGGAGGCTGAGGCGGTGAATCACCTGAGGTCAGCAGTTTGAGACCAGCCTGGCCAACGTGGCGAAATCCTGTCACTACTAAAAACACAAAAACATTGCTGAGTATGGTGGTGGGTGCCTGTAATCCGAGTTACTTGGGAGGCTGAGGCAGGAGAATTGTTTGAGCCTGGGAGGCAGAGGTTGCCGTGAGCCAAGATTGTACCACTGCACTCCAGCCTGGGCAACAGAGCAAGACTTCGTCAAAAAAAAAAAAAAAAAAAAGCAAACCAAGAGCATAATCTCTTAGGGGACGCCATGGTGGTTTGGGGCCAGGGACCGGATGAAGTTGCAGAAGAAATGGAGTCACATTCAGTGTTCAGGCTCCACCACGCACTATGTAGGTGACCTGGAGAGGCTCCACAACCTCTCTAAGCCTCAACTTTGCCCCCCTGGAAAATGGGGGTGATAATATTGCCTGCCTCATAGTGCTTTGTTGGAGACCAAATGCACTGTGATGTGTGACACGCACAGCACACAGTACATGCTAACTGCGTGTTTATTAACACAATGAATATCCTGGCCATCAAATTTGAATCCGCCTGGAACCAGTGTGGGGGCTGATGGTCCAGGAACATGCCCAACTTTGGTTTTTTTTTTTGAGACAGAGTCTTGCTGTCTCACCCAGACTGGAGTGTAGTGGCACAAACTCAGCTCACTGCAGCCTCTCCTTCCCAGCATTCAAGTGATTCTCCTGCCTCAGCCTCCTGAGTAGCCGCGATTACAGGCATATACCACCATGCCCGGCTTTTTAAAATTTATTTATTTATTTATTTTTTGTATTTTCAGTAAAGACAGGGTTTCGACATGTTGGCCAGGCTGATCTCAAACTCCTGACCTCAGGTGACCTACCCACCTTGGCCTCCCAAAGTGCTGGGATTATAGGCATGAGCCACCATGTCTGGCCAGGCTGCCCAGCTTTCAACCTGGCCTGACCTTGGCCAAGGTATTTAACCTCTCTGAGCCTCAGTTTTCCCTGTAAAATGGGATGGTAGCAGCATCTATTCCGCGAGGTTGTAGTGACAACCACAATGGTCAATAATTGTAAAATACTTAGATACTCACACCTGTAATTCCAGCACTTTGGGAGGCCAAGGCAGTAAGATCACTTGAGCCCAGGAGTTCAAGACCAGTCTGGGCAATATAGGGACACACCCTAAGAAAAATAAATTTTAAGCTGGGCATGTGGCTCACACCTGTAATCCCAGCACTTGGGAGGCATTGAGGTGGGTGGATCACCTGAGGTCAGGAGTTTGACAGCAGCCTGGCCAACATGGTGAAACCCTATCTCTACTAAAAATACAAAAAAATTAGCTGGGCATGGTGGTGTGCACCTGTAGTCCCTGCTACTTAGGAGGCTGAGGCAGGAAAATCATTTGAACCCAGGAGGCGGAGGTTGTAGTGCCACTGCACTGCAGCCTGAGTAACACAGTGAGACTCTATTAAAAAAAAAAGAATAAGAAAATTAAAAAAATTAGCCAGGCGTGGTGGCGTGCACCTTTGGTCCCAGCTACTTGGGAGAGGCTGAGGCGGGAGTATTGCTTGAGCCTGGGAGGTGGAGACTGAAGTGAGCCGTAACTGCACCACTGCACTCCAACCTGGGCAACAGAGCACAGAGCAAGACCCTGTCTCAAAAAAAAAAAGAAAGAAAAAGAACGACGTCTGGTATGTACTACATGATTAGGAAGCGTGAGTTGTTATTACCATTATGGGGAGCCCACAAGCCCTTCTTCCACAGGCACAAGATCTGCCTGGCCCAGCCCAAGGGCAGCATCTACTTACTTCAAGAACTTGCCAAGGGGCAGGCAGACTTAACCCAAAATAACTTTATTATTGTCTCCACTTTGATATAAAAGCATTCTCCAAATGGGGGCAAACGCGGCAAACCACTGTGAGGTCTGGGCCCCCTGTACACCGTTCTGCTCCAAGGACAAGCTCTGTGCCCACCCCAGTTGCCATTGCCATGTCCCGCCAAACCTCCCCCTGACCCCGGGCAAGCCACAGTGCAGTACAGAAGCTAAAGCCTGAGATTGACCAGACACGGTGACCACAGGGCCTCTCCCTGACCTTGGCTGTGGGGTGGAGGGTGCAAGCTGCAGCTTCTTGCTGTCTCTAGGAAAGACTGAGTAATTGGGGGTCCCCTGGAGCTGGCGCAGAGGCCAGGCTCGCCTGAGGTTGTAGTGTAGCATGTTACTTTTCCTGAGTTTTGGGGTTCCACCTGGTCAGTCATCACTGCTGGGGATCAGTCCTTCCCAGTTCCAGAATCTTCCTTCACTGGACAGCTGGGGCCCATGAGGCCTCCTTCCAACTAAAGTAAATGCAGCTGCACCTTCAGCCTCAAGGCCTGGCCCCGTGGCCCTGGCTGCCCCTCTGGCTGGACACCCCAGGGTCCTGCCACGTTGCTCACCAGCTCCAGTCGGTAGATTCCAGGCCCTGGCCGCCTCCGCCCCAGCTGCAGGGAGCTGCAGCCACGGATGTGATGCATTCGAAAGAAACCTTGTTCATTTCCCTGGGCAATGATGTACCGAACCCGGCCCTCCAGACCCTCTAGGGCCGGCCGGAGCTCCAGGATGCGCTCGGCTCGGCCCAGGTGTGAGAGATTCAGGCCCAAGGTCAGCAGGGCCTCAGAGTCAAGGGTGGCCAGGCTCACCTGGGGAGAAAGACCAGGTGCATGGTCAGAGCCCAGGAGAATCGGGATGTGGTGTGGGTAGGGGGTCCTGGGATTGTGGCCAAAGAGATTTTGGCCAGTCTCTAAGGTGGAGGAGAGAGCTAGGAAAAAGAATGAAATCAGGTCATTTGCAGCAATGTGGATGCAGCTGGAGGTCATTATCCTAAGCGAATTAATGCAGAAACA